TCGAAGAATAATGCCGGAAACTTGAGGGAGAAATATCGCGGAATCGAATGCAACGAGAAAGTGGTGGGGAAGAGAGAGAGAGAGAGAGAGGAGAGGAGGAATCGATGGGAACGGGTTGCCGGGAGATGGATGATTTTTCGACGATCGTCGATCGAACGGAAGCTCGGTTGGGAAAGCAACGCATCTTTGCATCGTCCCAAGAGCACGCTTCAAACTATCTGCATTTTTCAGCCGCGAACTGGGCCAAGATGGTAGACGAGCGGGGAAAAAGAGGAGAGAGGGGGAGGAAAAAAAGGGAACGAGAAGCTGGATAAAACTGAAGATCGTGGTTTCGAACGTGTACTAAGATACACGTGGCACGTGAACGTGTGTATAATAATAGAACTGTGCACGGGATTTATTACGTGAAATAAAAACACACGGAAATTCTGCCATTTGTCATATCTATTATACGTGAGAAAGAGATACGAAATCACTGTTGAGTTGGAGTGAATTTTGTGTGATCTCGTTTGTACCAATAATTTAAATAGTCTTACGTCTCCCATCGTACGTTTTCTTATAGGATTTATTTCCTACGAATCTCTATATATTTTTTATTTGTCTTTTCATTTTATTGACAAATTATTTTTATATATATATATTTATATATATTTGTTTTTAATAAAAAGGTAAATTATTTTTCATTTATCTTTTTATTTTATTAATAAATTATTTTTGAAAGATAAATTACTTTTAATTTATCTTTTCATTTTATTATTTATCTTTCCTATAAATTTCTATAAATCTCTTTGGAAACACTCCCGTGTCATGATGAAACGACCTTCATATTTAACAATGGACAATATCGTAAAATTTTCATTTAATTTTTGCGACATCCGACGCAGCTAATATTAATTTAAAAAATTCGTACAATTAGTTCTGTTCAATTTAACATACAAAATTAGAATAGTACGCATATATGTAGATTCGTAAAAGAATTTATCAATAAATTGTTTATCAATAAATCAGAGATTAGATGTATACACAAGTGAAATAGAAAATTCTGAAAAACACGGGAGAATTATTAAAAAACAAAAAAAAAAAAAAAAAAAAAAAAAAAACAGGAGAAATAATTACTCCTTGGTCGTTTTATTTCCAACGAAATCAGGGCTGCATCTGTTTCGAGCAGAGCGTGATAACGAAGAAAGAGAAAAAAGGGAGGAAGATCTGAGTATATCTGGTCGTTAAGCGGCAAGAGATATTTAGGTTAAGGGGAAAAATGTCAGAATTGTTGATGCATCGAATTTCTCTGATGCAACGCGCTGCATTTAAAAGTCCAATGAGATTGTTAGTCTGTGCCCTGGTACTCGCCCGTGGGATGCGTTTGCAAGTAAAAGAAAAAAAAAGAAGGAAAAAAGAAAACGGAGGAGAAAAGAGGAGAAATTCCATCCGTGTAAGAATTCATGTGAAAAGTTGTTTTTTAATCGGCGACGTTTATGAACGTTCAGCTTTTATAACGGAAGAGAAACTGAAGATAGCAACAGGTCGATATTACAAAAGTTTCCTGAGTCGTAGGAATTGGTAATTGTACTTGGAAGTACAAGGCGAGGAAGATTATGGTTAGGCGAGTGTTTATGCATTTATGGGAAACTAAAAGATGAACGTGTATCTCTGCAATGTCCTAGGAGTTGTTTGAAAATTGAAGCGATGAAATAGTATTTTAGGCAACGAAGATGTGGTAAAGTATCAATTGCATTATAAAATACAATTAAAAATAAGCAGACTTACATAATAAAAATTAAACACTTAATCGTGTTTAGTATAAATCTGCATAAACATTTAGAATCTAGTTCTAATCTAACTTAATCCTGTTTTCAAAACAAATAGCTCTGAAAAATATTTTTCTGTTATATTTTAAATTTGAAAAAAGTATCACATAATTAGCTGGTAATCTTTAAAAAGAACACTTGTTAATAAATGATCACTACACACGATGACGAAGATAGCAATCATAAAATACTTGAAATACTGCATTTAGAAAAAAGTTCAAACTCAATATTTTTTATTTCATTATTCATTTAATAATCTTTCAATATCCATCATTCTATTACATTCATATTAATCTCTGACAAATTGCGCAATGTTATTTTCTCATTTAAACATTTATCTTAACACCCTGTTCTCGGTTTCCTTTGCAGCAGATGTGAAAAAAAAAAAAAAAAAAACAGTGGACATTTCTCCTAGCGTGAGCCATAATTGGTCCCGCAGGACTAGCAGGAGTTACCACCTTGTCGTGCAAGTCGCAAATGATACTAATTTTTCCGCGATCGTGCATGCCGCGACCGCAAATGGCGTCGTTGCGTCCTCCGCTTTGTTTTAGCCACGTGCGTTGAAATATTTCCACGACAACAATTAGTAAAAAAAAAAAAAAAAAAATCCTTGTTTAAAAGGATTTTTAATCCCCCACTTTTATCCTTGCGAGTTAATTTTCGTTTTTTAAAAAAAATGCGATCAGAAAAGAAAAGAGTGAAAGAGGGAGAGAAAGGAGAGAAAAGTCAGTCCATTAATTTATCAGTCGATCGAACGAACATCTTTTTTTTTTGCCCCCGCCGAGGTCGTTCCCAATGGAGCGAGATTTTTGGGGGAAAAAAAACATTACACGCGCCATTGATCCATTTTAGCCGGCAACGAGTTAATTTCGTTTGCCCCGAAATATTCGTACGTAGAACGGGAGTTAATGTTCTCCGAGTTTCAACGAATATTTCAGTACTTGAATAAAATGGAAATTCTGGCCACTATTACGAAAATTGCTCGCCAGATTTATTATAAACATTGCACTGTTTTAAACTTCCCTGCTACAAGCTGATGAGTAGACGTGGAAGGTACAATGGTAGAACATCAGGAGGAATTTCACATGCTATTGTATACTTGTAAGTTAATTATTCTTGCTGCTAAAGCCATTACTGCGCACGGTTGTATTCTGTTATACAGAACTATATTGTCTACGATAATGAGTGTAAATTTTTCATTAAAAAGGAGTTTCCAACGTCAAGTGTGTATTTAACTTGACGTTCCTTGGCGATGGGATAGAATGTATAATCATTTTGTCGAGAATTAAATTGTAATTTCAGTTTGTATGTTTGAGTCTAATTTCAGCGGTCGTTGTTCAATTTCTATATACATTATATATTCTATAATGATTAACTGTGGTAAGAATTTAAAATTATAATTACATATACTATTTATTTAACGTAAGTCAATTATATCGCGCTATAATTAACTTTTGTAAGTTCTATATATTTCTGTTTGTCAGAACTCCATTTAAATAGCTCAAAATTTACAGGAATTTCGTTGGAAAATCCTGTGACTTTCTATTTCTGCTGTAGTGTTTTATATATTATTAATGTTACTCATTGATACATATATTTGTATACAAGTATTTAACATAAAATAATTTATATGCTGTGTATTTATTAGAGGTGTGCGAGAACTCGATGGTTGGGACGAGTAGGGTTCCGGAAAATTTCGAAATTCCTGAAAAAATCGGGTTTTCCGAGAAAGTCGAGATTCCCGAAAATTTCGAGAACTCGAACTACTCTGCAGTGCTGTATAACAGTCTACAAATTATGTAAATACACAGATCAATCTCTTCAGTGTTATGAAGTTATTGGAAACACGGATTCTCAAAATCGTGTGACCTAATGTATACAAACGTGTGACTCCATGCTTAGCACTTGACATTATGTACGCTGTCGGGCAGTATCGCTGAGACATTCGGGAAGTTCGGACGTATATTTCAAAATCTGTGTGTTTAAATTAATTTAATAAAGATTAGAAATCTTTAAAAAAAAGTGTCGAGTGATAGTGAGAGTAAAGTTGTGGTAGCAGGAAGCAGTGCGGAAGATATCGTGCAAAGGAAGAAGATAAAGAGAAGCTCCGTTTGGGAACATTTTCAAGAAAAAGATGACACAAAGGCGGAATGCACGCATCGTCACCATGAATTTAAAACTAGGTATGCAAATACTACTGGTTTATTACGCCATTTGAAGCATATGCATCCAAACATAAGTACATGTACTAGAAAAGAAACTGAATCGATATAAAATTTCGAAAATTTCGTCGCTGGTACAAAATGATTCGCGAAAGATTGTTAAATCAAAAGATACAACAGAAGGAATTGCTCGAATGATGGTTCTGGATCTGCGACCTTTCGATATAGTTGAAGGCGTGGGCTTTAATGAATTATTTAAGCTTGTCCCTAATCCTTTCTCAAATTCCAACTCTTTCGGGAATCCCGGCTCTTTCGAGAATCCCGATAAATTCGAGAATCTCGAAAATTTCGTGTTCCCGACCCGACCCAATATTTCGGGTTTTCGCACACCTCTAGTATTTGTGTTAAATATCGAAGCTTTAAAAGAGTGACAAAGTTCCTTTTGAAGTTCTGTATGTAAACCCTCAAACATATAAACTTTCACAAAAGTATTAAAAATATTTTCATTGAAAATACTGCCAATCATTTATAGAATTACAGATCACATAAAAATACGTGCAAAACTTCGAATCAACACGATGAAAATTAGGTACAATCAGTGATAAAAGTACACCCTACACCTGCCAAATTTCAAATATCTAATGAACAATATGAACATTAAATATTTTCTGATACTCGTGGAATTTATTATACTATATTATATTTATTAACATATTCTCAGAAAGAAAGAAAAACAAAGAATTCATCGAAACGAAGAAATAAAACAATCGTCATGAATGTTGCAATTATAATCAGAATAAATTTTATTCGTCTCACTGTATATACATAATCCTTGGCAATCGTACACAGACTTTTTTTAAGATCATGTTCACCATAAGAAACCGTAACCACGATCTTCTGACCAACTAATCTGAATTAATTAATATCTGTAAAACACTAGTTTCTTAAATATTTGAAATTTTGACAGATGCACGCGGAATTCTTCGACGGAATTGTACATTAGAAAGGACAGAAGCGTGTAGAAACTCACAGTCGCCGATGGGATACGAAGCAGGTAGCTGGGCTTGACCTTGGCCACCGTGAATAGGATGAACTTCGTGATAAGCCGCCCTCGCTTCCTGATAAGCGTTCTGCCTCTGTCCCCGATAATTCTGAACGGTGTACGCTCCGGAGAAGATTCTCGTGTACCTCAGGTAACATCCGCTCGGTATCCGCCACTGAAAAACGAATTAGAACACGCGACTGGTGATTCCCTCCTCTCCTTATTTTTCTCGTTTAGAACGAAAATTGTTCTAAACGAGGGAAGCTCGCGTACACTCACCCCGTAAGCGGAGGATGGTATCGGCTGGGGTGGTCTTCCGGGACACATCAGCATTCTTCTTCTAAAATAGTGCGGCTAAACGGCGGAACAAATGTAAGCATCGGTTTTAGATTGGATTTCGTTCACTGTACCACTGTTCAATCCTTGATTGAACCTTTTTATCTCGGGGAACGTATATGTGCACGAAAAATAAATTGAGTAAAGTTTATATATGAACGAGAGAAATATGAACGTATGCTGACACAATATTTACAATATTAAGATTTATGGTGATACAGATTCACTGTTCTAAAGAGTTCAATGTAAGGATGAAACAGAGAAATTTAAAGACTGAGAAGGCAGAACGTTAGTATCGCACGAATTAAAAATTTTTGAAGCAGATAACGTTTGTTGTTAGCAGTTCCTTCAGTTTTAATCATGCCTAAAAGCGATGTTAAATTTGAAAATTACTGAAAATTTAATGCATTAATAGTTAGCACAGTTCAGAAATTGCACAAAGCAAAAGATTCAAATCAAAATATATAAAAGCTACTTCTTAATTTATTTTTTATAATAAATGATAGTTTGACAAAACGAATGTTCACTTTTATTCTAGCTAATAATAATTGATTATTACACATGCATGTATCGTCTTCGAAAAACATACAGAGAGCATAAACGTTATACTATATTTTTATCTGGCTCTTTGCACGTAAAATGTTGGATGTTGTTCGAATTTGTATCGCAGTAGTAAATCTCGTTGCAAAGTGGCAAAATTTAGAACAGAAACTGGAAGTTACACAATCGTGTTGGTTTCTGAAGATGAGAAAAAAGAATCTTTTTGTTCTTTCCTTGAGTTTCACATGTATAGAATACTATGTTGGAAGGATTTTTCGACGTTCGAATAATTGATGAAGTTGCGGCAGTGAAAATGGCTTTTGTTTTTATTTTACACGAATGTCAACTTAAAACTTTAAACGTGTCTCTCTCGAAACCACTGACTTTCCTTACTTCAGACCTTTGGCATTATTCATTTGTTCAACTTCAAATTCTTACGTATTATTTGTTATCTACAAAATCAAAGTAAAATCTTCTTCCTTCATTAATTTCTAAATATTTGAACAGTTTTATAGGAATAAAGAAAACAATAAAATAAAACAATAAATAGTGAGGATAAATAATTTCGGAGGTATATTCGGTGCTGGATCAGAATTAATTTCTGCTTGAACATAAATGTACATGTTTAAATTTCTGAATCAATATTCAACTGAAAATCATTTTCAAAAATTCCTTCCATATACGTAAAACTCAAAAAAAAACGAGAGCAGAACGATTTCGATTGTTTGAAGATTTCTTTCGATCGTTTGAAATTAACGCGATGGTGTTGCCACTTTGGTATTCATTATCTTAACGCCGGACGCCCAGGCAATCACTCTGATTTAGATCGAGAACGACAGATAATAAATTGTCCTCGCTTAATGTTGACGACGATGAACAAGTTCGAGGCTGAATAATTTAATGCTGTTATAAAACAAAATTCGTTGGTCTAACATTTTTATTAACTAATTTTCTGCGAAATCTTTGCTGTTAGAAATATTAATCAGAGTTATTGAAATAATTGATTGACAGACACAATCATTTCGATAATTCACGAAACCGCCGCCGATATATGTATTACGTTCTCAACAACGTCCAACTAATTATTTATGCATTAATCAAAGTCCACGACAGTCGGTCAGGTTATTTAATTAAATACAGGACCTGTACAAATTCCTACGTAACGTTTGATCTAAATCACCGTGAATAATACGTAGCTGTCACTGCTGTTGAAACGTGATCTCAATTATTAAACGATCGTTAATGTTAGTTTACCCTGTTGGTCGCACGCAACTGTAATTACAGTTACCGGAGTGTCCAACGTGCGCGTGTGATTCTTAAATTGAACGCAACGCGTTAATTGCTTATCTAGACTCGTTAGATCAGATAATACAGAAGAATGGGAGGGAAATGCTGAAATACGCAGTAAGAAAGTGGAAGCTAATCAGTGCCAACGTTAATTAACGTCGCGAAGCGTCGAAAGGATTAATATGGTTTACCAGTTCGATGATACGCCAATTATGCCAATAACGGCACGGTTATTATGCATATAGATAATCAAGAGTTTAATTAATGAGTACTCGAATAATCGGCAGGTGGTTTAATTGATTTCTCATTAACGGTGATGCTGCTGCATTAATAAAACGATCACACCGAGATGTCGACTGATCAGTTATATCGCAGATCAGTTTGTCTGTTTTCTCATTGGCATAATACGTACAAGTATTTTATTTTATTTTTTAAATCGAACTCTCGAGATGGTTCAAAATAGAAAGCAGGAGACAAAATATGTAGTATAAAATATAAGTGTAATGTAAATTTGAATCTCGGTTTATATTCGCACACAGTTATATTATATTATAATATTTACTCTCGCTAGATAAAATTTGAGAGAACACAATAGGAAGAAAATAAATTTCTCCTTTCGTTGGATGTTTGAAGTTTTTCAAGTTATTTTATAATACGTAACTACGTGTACAAATTTTAGCGTTTGAAATTATTTCGGTATATAATGACCGAAGGCGAAGACATATTTATAAATATTAGTATTGTGTTTTTACAATTATTTTATAATTGCTTCCGTGTTCAAATGACTTTATCCAATAATTAAGTATATATTGTTGAACATAAATATATAAAGTTATTCAGCAATGATTAACCGATCATCTTTTTCTTTAGTAAACTAAACGAAATTCCGGTTATAGAGTAAATAATCCTTGTTTTGTAATTATAATATCTAACATCTGTATTATTGATACTCAATATTATATTATAATATTTACTCTCGCTATTATAGCAGGACATGTAATATTATATTATAAATTTTCAACATAATGCTATAATATCCAACATTATTATTATAATATAATACTTATTAATTATTATACATATTTATATAATAATTAATTATAGTATTATATATATTATATTAATTTTATTAATATAATATATATAATATTGCTATAACATTATATGCAATGCATGTTAATAATTTTCAACATAATGCTATAATATCCAATATTACACTATAACATAAAACTTATTAATTATTATATATATTTATACAATAATTAATTATATATATTTATACAATAATTAATTTTTTATTAATATAATATGTATATAATATTACTATAATATAATATTATTATAACAATGTATGTAATATTATATTAATAATTTTCAACATAATGCTATAATATCCAATATTATTACACTATATAATATAAAACTTTTTAATTATTATATATATTTATATAATAATTATTTATAGTATTATATATATTATATTAATTTTATTTATTATATATATTATTATTTAATATATATATATATATAATATATATATAATATTACTATAATATAATATAATAATATAATATTATATATTATTATTATAGCAATGCATGTAATATTATATTAATATTTTTCAACATAATGCTATAATGTCCAATATTACACTGTAATATAAAACTTATTAATTTTATATATATATTTATGTAATAACTAATTATATATAGTATTATATATATTATATTAATTTTATTAATATAATATGTATATAACATTACTATAATATAATACAATAATATAATATTACATATTATATGTAATATGTATAGTAATGTTATAGTAACGAACGATTAATATATTTTAATTATCATAAATAATCAATATAATTTATTAATATATTTTAATTATTATAAATAACTGGCATCCGCGTGTAAAAAAGGCCACGGAACCGCGGAAACGAAATTCCCAAGACGGGTTACACCGAAACCTCCGGCGTCGCGTTTACAGCTGCGTACACAGCCATTTCCATTACAAGAAGCTATCGTTACCACGGGATGAAAAACTCGCGCAACCACTATAAAGTTGTCTGTCAGAGCTCGGGCCGGGAAATCCACCCTCGTAAACCGCGCGGTAAACTAAGTAAACCTACCGAACGTTTTAAAATTTTCTCAGCCGGAACGCTTTCGAACACGCAACAACATCCTCCTCCCGCCTACGGCGGCTTCTGGGAGTTTTCTTCCATAAAAGGAGAGACAGAGAGGCAGAGAGAACGAACGAAAGAAAAGACAAGGGATCACGCGATGGATACCGGATTTCCGGCGAGACCCGCTCGTATTCGTCACCGTCGAATTATGCAACGGCAACGAATTTATGTCTCGCCTGGAGGAAAGATTCGTACGTTCGTGTATCCACCTTCGGGCTCTCCGCTGCGAATAAGTTTACGATTTTTCGGAGGAAATGGAACACGTAGTTACGCGCACGTTCTGCACGTGTTTTAAATCTAAAGCGGGCACCTAGGTGAAATTACCGTCGTGGAGCGTCGTTGTTGCATCGAAGGCGGCGCATTGTTCTCAATTAATTATTATTGAAACGTCATTGCAAAGTGACGATTTCTTTTTCGAGTAGAAGATCTAGAATGACAATGAAATGTTTACAATTACGCAACATGATTACAAGTCGCAAGTGTGAAAGTGTATATCGCAACTACGTGAACGTGATTTTTTTAATTAAAGCGACAAACAGTAGCATGCGTAATTAGCTAAGTGAAAGAGTGAAATACAAAAAAACAAGTCGAAAGCTCCGAATAATATGTTTGAAAATCAAAAGTTGAATTGAAACATAAGTGAAACAAATTTTAGCAGCAATTGCAAGCGAGGCAGCATGCAACAGTAAAGCTTGTGACGCGAGAGGAAAAGGATGATGGCAGAAAATGGCGCGAGACAAGGAGAGTAGAGTTACGTTCACCCAGATGAAAAATTAAGAAAACTATAAGAAAACACATACGAATTTCTTTTCAACTCACCTCGGAATCTCGACGATGCTCGGATTCTGAAAATGTACGAGACATCAGATAAGATCGTTTAATCGTTTTTTTTTTTTATCATGACCGATCGATGTTATCGTCGACCGAAATTCCACCGTGACCTTTCGCCCTCGACGAAAGCAGAATTCTTCTTCTTATCGAGGTGATTCTTGGAGATTTTATGGGAGGATTGCCTTTATTGAACCCATTAAGCCGATGTAATTAGCCCAAGTTGATTAAATGATCGAACTAACCAGAGAGATATTATCTGACCGATGAGACAGAATGACGGAACATTATTTCTACATGTCGTCCCGCGTTCTTAATAATTTGGCATTTCATGAACGAAGTTACGCTTCAGTAATTTAGCTTCCCATTTCCAGTGATTATTATTTTATTGCCAAAGTTATAAAGTCTTGGTGATTATTTCTGAACGATGCTAATTTATTTTTCTGAAGTAATGGAAAGAATATTCTGCAGAACATTTCAGTAATTATCACATTTCACGAGAAAGAATTTTATGTTGAAAGTTTTAATATTATACTCGAATGAGACTGAAAGATCTGTTTTTTCATTATTCGCGTAAAATTTTGTAGAAAATCCTCCCATAATTGTTTAACAGTAAGTTTTTATTTTAACCTAATGTTTAGTTTAACAGTAACTGTAAATGAAACAACTAATATTTCAAAACACTGTTAGTGGATCGATGATATTTAAATATCGTTTAGAACGATCACTGTTTTTTTTTTAACGTTTTGTATTCTTATGCGTCATTCAAAAATAATAAATTATCTCCCAAATAACTCGAGTGTAGTTGGTAAATTTTCAAACTCGAAATTTTCTCGAAAATGAAAAAGGTTTTGGTGAAACAAATGTTATTCTGTCTTTTTAACTTTATTCATGTTTACCTTTCAGTCGATCATGAGTTGCAGGATATCCTGTATATGCACAGTAAAGAGCATAATTGAACCAACGATGAAAAATTGTCAATAATTTAAATTGCCATAAGTACATAGAACAGTCTACTTGGTTTCATTTAAAGCTTAAGATCTCTACTTTCAATTTTAAATTTATTTTTTCCAAAGATGATTTTAACATAAATGATGAATGAAAAAGATACTTTTACCTCGAAAATTGTAAAAAGAATTAAATAACGATTTCTTGAGTTATTATCGTTTAATTCTAACATTCAAAATTTAATAAAAAATTGTACAGTAGCTCTTTGAAATGATAATAGATCTAGGTGCGAAAAATTTCTTTAATATTTCCAGAGATATTTAAATTCTTTTTTTTTTTAATTTTTACAATGTTCCAAAAAGAAATAGCTTTTTATTTTCCCACTCTTTGATATGAGATCATCTTTGAAAACAACGAACTTGGAGTAGAGATTCCGTGCTTCGAAACGAGATCAAATGGATCGTTATATGATTTTCCTTTACAAAGTTTAAATTATCGACAATTTTCCATCGTTGTGCTTTTCGCTGTATGCATTTGCTTCAATAATATTTGTCATTAAGCTACAATTCACACAGCTACAATTTCACCAAAAGCTTGTAAAAAAGTTGAAAGTTGTGAACGATCCCAATTAACTACTATACCTCAAACATTTCTTATATTTTTAAATCCTCTATTTCTATTTCTATTTTTCTATCTTTCTATTTTCTATCCATGCGCATCTTCCAAGATTTTCCAATATTATACGTACGACTCTGTACATTTTTACATCTCCAACCCTTTACACGCTCGAACGCATAAACATCCCCCTATTGTCACACTATACTTCAAACATTTTTCGTATATTTTTAAACCCTCTGTTTCTATTTCTATTTTTCTATCAGTCATTTTTCTATCCTCTGTTTCTATCTTCCTATTTTCTATCCATGCGCGTCTTCTAATATTTTCCAATATGTACGTGCGTACGATTCTGTACATTTTTACATTTCCAATCCTCGGAGTTTGCACGCTCGAACGCATAAACATCCCCCTTATTATCGCACTATACCTAAAACATTTCGTATATCTTTAAAACCTCTATTTCTATTTCTATCTTTACTGTCTTTCATTTTTCTATCCTCCTATTTCCTATCCGTGACTCTGTACATTTTTACATCTCCCAACACGCTGTACACGCTCGAACGCACAAACACCCCCTCCCCTATTACCACGCTAATAGGAACAACATCGCCTGCAAACGCGCACACGCGAGCGACTCTTCAGCGTCCAATCTCCTAACAAACCATAAACCAGGATCCTTCACTCTCCACAGTGATCGTACATAACAGGCAATCATCGCGTCCGGCTAACAGGACGTTCTGTCCACCCTCCCAATTTACCAGCCGAAAATATTCGGCGAAGGTCGCCGCCGCTCGATATCATCGATCGCCCTCTGGCGAGCTGCTCGCCGGTATTACATAAATTTACCTCGCACGTGTATCGAGAAATGGCATTCGACTCGATTTCCGGCTGCATCGGAAGCGATGTAGCGCACGTTGTGAATGCCGGGGTACATCAGTTGTCCAGGTTCCTGCACGGGAAATACAACACGGCCGATGTTAAATTTTCGTCTCGCGAGAGATTGAAACACGCAAGCATTATCGTCGTCGTCGTCGTCGTCGTCGTCGTCGTCGCGATGTTATTTAAAATTTTCAAATTTTTTCAAGTTTGAATTCGATGTCGGCGAATTTTCAATTGCCGTGTCTCGCTGATTTTTTTCCTTTTTCCGATCGAACGAAACGTTTCCTCTGTATCTTTTCATGCACGCGACGCGATGATTAATAAAGAAGAATTGATATAGCGTTTAATTTGAGGAATCAGGGATTTAGGGACGATTTTTTAGCGTGACAGAGACATTGTTGACTGGACCGAGTATTTTTATATATTTTATATCATTTTGAAGTGTTGCATCTTAATTTAGTGAGGAGGAAGGTATCGAGGGATAATTAACAAGGAGGAGAATATTGATAATATATCTTTTAGTTCAAGGAATCAGGGATTTAGGGACGATTTTCAACGTGACAGAGATATTGTTGACTGGACCGAGTATTTTTCTATTTTTTATATCATTTTGAACTGTTGCATCTTAATTTAGTGAAGTGGAAGGTACTGAGGGATAATTAACAAGGAGGAGAATATTGATAATATATCTTTTAGTTCAAGGAATCAGGGATTTAGGGACGATTTTCAACGTGACAGAAATATTGTTCTATAATTCTATATTTTGAACTGTTACGTGCAGTGAAATTTAATTTGATAATCAACAAGGAGAAGGAAGAATAATTGGTATTATATCTTTTAATTCAATGAATCAGGGATTCAGGGACGATTTTCAGTATGACAGAGATATTGTTCTATAATTCTATATATCATTTTGAACTGTTGAGTGTAGTGAAATTTAATTTGATAATTAACAAGGAGAAAAAAGAATAATTGGTAATATATTTTTTAGTTCAATGAATCAGGAATTTAGGGATAATTTTCAGTGTGAGTCATAGTTGACAAATTATTTTTCCACTTTTCTATTTCTTTATATGTTTTTATATATTTTCTGTATATTTTTAAATATATTTTTTATATACTTTTTAATTTTCTATATAGTTTTTAAAACGTTACATGCAATGAAACTCAATTTTTCAACGAACGCTTCTTGTTGCCTAAATCTAATAAATTCGCTCGACGTGTATAGCATTAAATCTTATTTAAAATTGGCTGAGACGTGCGATAATGAGTTTTGTTTATCGTTTGATAATTTATTGTGCATTCCCAGACACAGAGTTCCATCGATATAGAATTTCCAATAAGTTTTCTCGAGACCTTCTCCCTCATATCGATTGATTCTCGTCTTTCAATTGACTCTCTCATTCATTCATCTCCTATTCTTCTTTTCTCAATATTCATTTCAGAATGAATGAACGAATGAACGAATGAATAGGGACTGTTAATCGAGATTGTTATTATATCGTGAAATCGTAGACGATTATGAAAAATTACTGAGTCGAAATTTTTTATCCGATCGGTTACTAAAACAAATGATTAAATTCTAAACCCTTTTCATCTTACTTCTGTTTCAAAATATAATACAATATAAAACATATAATCTATCGATCGACTTTTAACGCATTGCACTTGTCAAATAGTCTGATACCACTTCTCATTATTGGATCGATGATAATTTTATTTATATTATATTATATTATATATTATAATTATTTATTATAATTTTATATTCTTACTATATCATATCTAAAGAAACACGATCCACAGAGAAATAAATAATCTAATTATCTAATAAATAATCTGTTCCAAATATTTTACACATTTTACAAATCTTTGGAACTTTCCCCCAGAAATGTATATTAACATCCCGTAGTAGTATAGTATTATATAATAAACCCGACTGTAAACTCGACACCATAAAACCCCGGTTGTTATTTTCACTTACCATTATCCTCCACTCTCTCACACCTCTTGCTCGCCTCATTCTCATTACCCATACTTTTCTCCCTTCTCCCTGATATTGCCTTCGTTTTTCCTTCGTTTCTTTTTTTAAATCTCCTCTACGCCCTCTTTCTCTCTCGCACATACACCTTTCACTCGGAAGCCACTTTAATTGACGCAACTTAGCAATTTGCCGTTGCACGTCGAAACGTCGCGTTTATTAGCGTCGCGTGTAGGAGAGGAAGCCCGCCAATTACGGGCTGGGCCAATTATCGCCTGTCCGGTCAATTCGCGAGCATGTTATCGCGTTATAACGACACGCGACGATCGCGGTGTCGTTCGCCTGCCTGGCGTTCGCGTGCTTGAAACTTAACCGCTGGCTAATTACCATCGACCGCAAACTTTTCTACCCGAACCGCATCCACTCCGCCCCGATCCTTTCAAAGTAAAAGTCCAGACCGGGTGGCGCGGCTGGGGGCGAGGAGACCCGTACAAACAAAAGTGCAGACAGATAGAAATTGAAAAAAGTCAGGGGAAGGTTAACCAGCGCTGTGATTCTTGAAATTTTTCATGCTTTTCTTTCACGTTCTCTCTCTCGAGCTATCGTTTCGAGAAGATAATTAATAACAATTCCAATTCTATTGCGAGTTGTTTTGAGAAATCTGTTGAAAATTGAAAAAAAAATAAGGGGGTAATTAACTCTTTTGTGATGGTCGAAATTTTTATGCTTTTGTTTCATGTTGTCTCGATCGTTTGAGAAGATCGTTTCGAGTATTATAATAATAATTCTTATTCCACTGCGAGTTGTTTGGTCACAGAGAAAGAACGAACGCAGGAGAGACGATCTTTCAATCTTAATTCAATTTGGAAGAATAAGAAAGAAGATGGATTTGCATCGCGAAGCGGAATATTCCAAAGCAATCTATGATTGACGAAAAATTTTTGAATTCAACTTTCTTTTGATATACTTCTTAACATATTGCTAGTAAATTTCTCTGCTAATTTTAATGTAGTCTGCGCTCTGATATTTCGTCGCAACGAATCAATATATTAACAAAGAATACTAACTATTTCAACCAGGATTAAATAAGATAGACAATTTGATAAATTTTGTAAAATCATGTAAACTTCAGTGACATAACCCGTCGTACAATTCGAACCATCGCAAATTAAAAAAAAAAAAGAAAGGAAAAATTAAGAAAAAGGAAAGGAAGGTTAGAAAAACCTCGTTTCGATGGTTCAATAATTTCTTTCGTTGCCTGATCCACGAGACACGACAAGTAAATTAACAGGATGAAAGCACCACGGTCAAGTTAATTGTCAAGTTCGATCGTTAACCTCTTGCGCTGGAATGACGTGCCACGCACGTCGAGGAATTTTTGTCCCAGAATTGCAATATTTTTTTGAGTTCCAAGTATATTTAAGTAAAACCCAGACAAAACAAATAATAAATTTATTACCGACGAGTTCAAAAAGTAAGCGGCGAATTATTGTATACGGTTTGGTCACTCGTTATGGTCCGCAATCAGTTGCTGCAAGCGGTTAGAATTAAAATTTGCAAATTTTATAGAAATTTACAGAAAAAGAAAACCTAACACGTTATAAGCGTTGACGATGAACGCTTCCCAAATGAAAGCACAAACGTGTAAAAGTCGCGAAAATTTTCGCAAAACGTTCTCCAAATTGACGAGTTGGAAAAGAAATCGGCGAATTATTGTATACGGTTTGGTCACTCGTTATGGTCCGCAATCAGTTGCTGCAAGCGGTTAGAATGTTTTTGCAAATTTATAGAAATTTACAGAGAAAGAGAACCTAACACGTTATAAGCATTGACGATGAACGCTTCCCAAATGAAAGCACAAACGTATAAAAGTCGCGAAAATTTTCGCAAAACGTTCTCCAAATTGACGAGTTGGAAAAGAAATCGGCGAGTTATTGTACACGCGATTCGGTCACTCGTTACGGTCCGCAATCAGTTGCCAGCGCAAGTGGTTAACGGCAGAAGTTTTAATAAACCGTCTCGCGAACGAACAAGAGGAGAAGAAGAGGGGGTGGGGAGGAGCGCGACGGATTCTTATTTCGTCGCGGCGTGGAACGTGGAAGAAAGGGGGTGAAGGGGGGCGTATTTCCACGCGGAAATAAAGGGAGAAATAAAGTCGAACGTACAAAGGAGGGGATGGCGTCGCGAGGCGTCATCTTCCCCGAGATCAAACGCGAGCAGAAATTTTCGGCCGACCAGGGAGGGAAATGTCGGGAGGGTGGAGGCGTGGGTGAATGGGAGAACGCGAGGGGGTGACAGCGCGGGGATTACCCCGGGCCAGAATTCGATGTCGTTTGCTCACCCTCGTTTTGTAGACCCGCTCGATGCCGACGTTGTCGGTGAACGTTGGCTCCTGCCAGAATATTAAGCGATTTCGCTCGCCGGGGCTTAGCCGCACTTCAAAGGACGTCGGGCACGTCGAAACTTTCGGATTCTCCGTGTCTGCGAATGGTAATATAATCAGTCGTCAGTATGGTAAACAAATTGCCCCGTTTTACGGGGCGGGAGGCAGCGGTCCGTTCCCAACTACCGGTGGAACCCGGGTTTTAACCTTTTATGGCCTCGATTATATCGTGATTTGTTGCCACATCTATTCTCTGTGGAAACTGCGAGCCACGGTTTATAATCTATTAATTTGTCAGGGGATTGGCGATGTTCTTTCACGGATTTTGTTCGATGTATGTGGTACATGCGGCATCGCAAATTTACTCAAGACTCTCTCGAGTGGATCGGTATTTCATTTCGTAATGTCAATTTTTTTTTTTTTTTTGCAGTAATGCAACTTTAATTAATTGTATTTAAAAATGAAGGGTTGTGAAAATGGTCTTGTTTCTCAGAGAAATTTTCTCAGAAAATATTCTTCGGAAGAAGTCGTTATTTCGTAATAAAACTTTCTTCTTTATTGTTCGTGGATTTTATATTATATTTTTGACAGATATTTAGCACTTTGTAGAAAGAATATTTTTTCATAAATGTAACTTTCATAAATATACCAGTGCAATGAATATTATTATTAGATATTAAATATCAACTTTCTAGATATTGGGCCCATTCTGATGCTTTTGTATATTTTAAAATACATAGTGATGCTTTCTAGGTACAGAAATTTAAATCTTGAGAAAAAGGATTTTCAACACTCCACGGGGTTTGTTCGGCAACTATTATACGGTTACATTTTAGAACGTTTCGTATAAGTTGCGTGAAATTCTCTTTTATTTTTTCTTTTTTTCTTTCTTTCCTTCTTTCTTTTTTTTTTTTTTTTTTGTTTAATCAGCTTTTAGAAACGTCGGAGTAATTAGTAAGTACGTGGGGAAATTCGAGATGAGACTGTATGTAGGTTAATGCGAACGTTTTACTTGGTTTAAAGTTCTAATTTCGTTTACTTTGAATCTTGCAATTATATATATATATTTTTTAAGAAACTAGGACTCGCGTCGCGCTCGGAGCTGTTGTAATTAGTTTCAGGGGCATCCGCAGTTGGTAATCTTTGCAAGGATGTAAAAGTGACTGAACTATCTTTCTATCTTCTCTAAAATTCGCGAGAATTTTGAAAAATGTACATTTCAACAAAGAGATCCAATTTTAACCAGATTTGTGTAACTTGTTTGAAGAAGGAAGATTGGTCCAATATTAAATTAATAAAAAATAAAATTAAACATTGAAAAATTAAGTTAACTAGTATCTAAATTCTATTGATTGTCAATGGCTGAAAAATAGTGAAGAATTAAAATTGTTACTGTTGTTAATCTGACTGTTAATTAATTTCCGTATTAAACATTTTTTACTGCGTATGACTTAATTCTGAAATTACTATACTGCGGATTTTTGTACAAATTTATATTTCTTACGAATATTAAAGAGATAGAATTCAAGTGAATATTTATTTAAATATTTTTTACATCTTTACATATTTAAATTTTGTATAGAAATCCGCAGTTTGTTTCTTTGTAAATCTTACTATTCTTTAAACTTTCTTTTATCCGCGTTTTGCACAAATAAATATTCTTCGACGAGTTCGAACAAATTTCTGTCAGCCGCCGTACGAAATTCTAAAATCTAAAAATCGGACTGATTGCAATTAAATTGAACTGACTGCAATTGAATCAAACGTTATAGAAACAAGATCGACTGGTGTCTAACTACCAATCGAATCGCCTTCAAAGAATAGCCTAACTGCGTGAAAGTAACTAATCGGGAACGTAAGAGACATTCACGACTCTCTCGTTCGAGAGCCTGATCAATTCGTCTGTAATTACCGATCGGTTACGTCCTCCCGTGTCAATAAACTGTCCGGCTTATAATTTTACGACGTTTAATTAAACGGGAAACAAGATCTGACGAGGGAAAGGGATGAATCGTGTTAGGCGACACTTGGCTAAGACGGTCTGACACAATTAAAAGTTTCGCCGATCTGATTTAATAGTTCGACGGGATCTTTGACGTTCCCGATTCCGACACGTTAACTCACAGACACACGGGCATTTTGCCTCGAAATAGTTCTTTTCATCGGGAATTTTGTTTTCGACTAAAAGTTTCACGCTCGGTTAAACGGGAATTTCTCGTTCGAGAACCCTCCTTCGCGCCGCCTCTAAGGATTTTAACCACTTCAGCCTGTTTACCTGGACGAGTGTACTTAATATAACGATTTGGTGTTTCATGGCTATTTCGCTAAATGGTGAATTTATCGTTCAACAGTCCGCGAGGTTGAAAGTTTAGACGATTTAAGTATGATATTCAAATATCATACTGCGTTTTTTCTTTTTTTTTTTTTTTTTTTTTTTTTTTTTTTGGTAGAGATTGATTCGTTGTCTAGTGACTAACTTTCACTGAGTAGGTATATAATTAATATTATGATACAGATACGTAATTACAGCGTTGTAACTGCAAAAGTTCATGCAAATAAGATAAATCAACAGACATGAATATGTTATATAGTCAATGATCGATGAATCATTTTTAAAGGACATTATCGAAAGAACACTCCAAATTACAATATTTATAAAATTTGTAGTATTTAACGGATAAAATAATTTTCCACCCAAGTAGCAAAAAGAAGAATTCTACTTCTTTAATTATCTTCCTAAAGATACAAAACTGTATAAACCTTCACAGTCCGGTAATAAAGTACCATTTCAGTAATAACCATTTTGAAAAGCCATTAAAAAAACACTTTTCTCATGTTCCTTTCTCGAACTATAGTTTAACTGATAAAGTTCTACTTTTTTAATTATCTTCATGAAGATACGAAATTGCATAAATCTTCATCAGTAATAAGTACCATTCTTAACCTAACCTAAACTTAAACATTCTTGAAAGACAGCATTAAAAATCTTCTCTTGAATATTCTTTCCCCAAACTATAATATTTGTATAATATTTATATTCTTACAATATTTAGCAGTACTTAAAATAATAGTATTTGCAGTAGTTAACGCTATTTAAAACAATTTTTTAAGACTTTCACTATTTTCACAAAGATATCTAAATTGAACCTTCGAAGTTCAAGTAACGAGCTTGAAAATAAGTTACAATTCCTCCGTCAAAAATTTATAACTTTCCAACCCGGCAAATGCTACAGTTGAATATCTGAGAACAAGAAGAGGGCAAATTAAGCGATCGCCAGTATAAAAATCCAAACTCCACGAAACAAGCAACTCTCGTTTCTCCGAGATATTCTCCGAAACCTTACCACCGAAAAACTCACCCCCTTTGCTCGGCACGAAACTTCTAAATTCGTACAATTAATTCTACCTTGCCCATCCCCTTGCACCTTCCTGCGTATACAGAGTGTTCTAGTTTCGTGATTCAACGTGGAGAAATAAAGCTTATACAAAATTAAATTATATTAAAAATAAATATAAATGTAAAATAAATATAAATGTAAAATAAATATAAATGTAAAATAAATATAAAATTATATTAAAAATAAAGCTTATATAAAATTTTATTGACAACTTCGCCACCTCGTTTTCGAGAAAATCGACTTTGAACACTTCTTAAAGAATCCAATAGCAATAATTTACCTAATTAAACACGGAATGTATGTTATATGACATTATGTGTCACATATAATAACCAATCTTTTAGTATTTATATGTAGTTTATTAACTTTTTTCAAAAAATATCTCGCAATGTATTCGCGTGGATGAAGAAACATACACTAATCTGTTGTACTAACTGAAGCACACCCTTAACCCTTTCTCCCGGACATTTTTCAAATATTCAAACATGCTCGGAGATTGACATTGCAATTATTATACTCCACATTAACGTTACTCTATATTATACTTTGTAGATGTTCGTACTCGTAGCTTGTAATAATAATTTCGACTCTTATGTTAGAAACTTGTTGCTACGATTCATCATTTTCGGTTCAAGCGAACAATTCGAAAAACTATAGATAGCACTGAGATATATTCAGAGATATATTTAGAGATATAATATAAATAATGTTTATGTTAATAGGAGTAACGATAATGGAACAACAAATAATTAAACAAGACGAATATCATTCGATCAACACGAATTAACAACTCGAATAACAACACAATTGACACTTTTAATAGCTCTTTTCGAATGCTCTCTCGCGACTCGGTCTTTCAACTCGTCTCGACTCTGGTCCTCTTAAAAAGGGAACCGAAATATTTCGTCACATCTCTGTGATCAACAAACAGACTATCTGTTATATTTAAACGTAACTAAAATTATAACTACGGATCAAATTATGAGAATACTACGGTTATTAACAAGGCAAGCGGTCAACGTTTCGCTCATTTTCAATTTCCACGGCTGCGCCGCGAGAACTTGCGATGCCCTGTACACCGTTTCCAGCCTCGAAGTTCACAACAAACCATCCCAACGCGAAACTACAACCTCAGCCGCGTTCGTTCGGAACGAGCGTTACTGCCTGGCGGAGGAGCAAATTTCTTTTTGTTCGAGGACGAACGAAAAACGTACGCCAACTCCGCGAACGCCCGGACGATCGAAGGGGTATTAACGAACAAACTGGACCGGTTAGAAAGGCCGTAGTTCAATCTAGAGTTAGAAGGAAGACGGACAACCGGGAAAATCGGGAGAGGAACCGAAACCGATGGGAAAGAAAGAAAGAAAGAAAGAAAGAAAGAAAGAAAGGGAGACGCGAGACCGAGCGGCCGAGGGTCGTGTCTCTCTGATAAAAAGGGAAACTTTTTCAAAAGCTCCGGCGAAATCGAGGCCTCGGCCCCGGGTTTCAAATCGAATCGCCGATACTCAGGGGGAGGGGGTGGGAGTGGGAGGGAGGGGGAGAGAGCCGAAGTTTCGTTTCGTCGGTAGCGAGTGCACTTAACCGAGTGCCGCTTAATTACTCATTCCTAAAGTTCGCGAAACTCCCTTTAAGCGAGTTCCTTCCGGTGGACAGCGACGTCGCTCGTTTGGACGAACTGCGAGAAAGCGAGAGAGAAAGAA